ATTGTTAACTACTTTTAAAACCGTCACAATGTTTGAAATTGTGACTGTTCAAGGTGCCTTCTCTAAACTAACACCTACCTTTTCTTCATACCTCTTCACAAATTATTTAAGGAGCATGAATCATATTCCAAAACACACAATTTCGAAATTCACTCTCTCTCAGTCCGGTCTGCTACAGTCTTACAAAAGGTTTCTCTGGAGACTCTTCAACTTTGTTGGTTGCAGATTCTCGCCCAAGGCTCTATTGTATCTTGGGAACGAATTTGCCTATAACCCAATAATAAATTCAATAAATTGAATGGGAGCAAATAACGTTCTAAAGATAGTGTCTTCAGACACGCCTCAGAGCTTCATTCGTTCTGATGAAGGGAAACGAACGATAAGAACGTTTTAAAAATGGGCAAGGTGAAAGAGGATGGCGGGCCCAGGCCCAGGCCAATAAGTAAACGGACGATAGCTACAACGGTCGTCTTTGCGAGTGCATTCGGGATTACCCGAATCATCCACGTGGCTAAAATATTCACAACGGAGAGGAGGGAGTAGAAGTAGAACGGCGAAAAGGAGTTGTCGAAAATTATGACGGTGATGATGATTCATGCGATTTGTGTTGGTAGGGAATTGGAATGAATCATGCATATCGTCATCATATCTCTCGTCTCCATCATCCAACCATACACTCCCACTTCATTTTTTGAAAATAAAATATTAATTACACGTGTAGGTGTCACCCTTTCACGGATTTTATAATGTGTGCAATCAATTCTATCTAAAGTTTTACTTTGTTTCCCCTCCCCTTATTTATTGTTGTGGGCCCTTTCTCCTTCTTCTCGTAATCTTATCCCCACCACCACATGCCTGTCTCTCTCTCTTTCTCTTTCCTGTTTTCCTTTATCTCCCCTTTTTAACCTTTTTATTTTTTCTTATTCAGCGAATCACAAAAGAAGGTCAGGTGGGCGGGCCCTAATAAGCTATCCATCTGTCTTGTCTTATTCAGGATTACTGGGACCGAATTCGGATTTTCTCCTCAGATAAAGCGCCTTAAATCAACTTACAGAAACATCGCAGTCGTATATTGAGAATATCTCTCGAGATGTTGTTCCTAATGCACATATGCGATGCACTGTAAAATTGGTGTAAAAGGCGCTCTGTGAAGAGCAAATTGGATGTCATTGGGACCTATAATTTAATGGGTTCTACTTGAAATCAAGCGCTCCACAACCCATCCCCTCCGTAAATCGGGAATCTCCCCATAATACAGGGGAATGGGCTTTGTGGGGAGTAATCTGAGCTCTAGAGATTTCAAAGTGAGTTCGGATCATATTACAATACAAATCTGTCCTACATGATCCATGTCTGTGCATTGAAAGCATGATTGGTCTTACAGTTATGGTGGGCCTCAATCTCATGGTCAATGTGTGAACATAGAAAGCATGTTGGGACAGTTTTTATTGTGATTAGATATAATTTGTTTGAAGTAGGGGGGAGCAAGAAAAATTAAAAAATTATACAGAATCGAAAAATTTTAAGATCAATCGAAATTGAAATTTTAGTTAATTAAATTAGTTGGTTCAGTTTTGGTTCTGTATTTTAAAAAAAAATTGAAGGTATCAATTCGGTTTTGCTTAACTAATATAAAAAAACAATATCTATATATATATATATTTCTTTATATATTATATATTATATATATATTTTATAATATATATTATAAATATAAAAAACTGAAAAATCAATAAACCCAATTAATCAACCGATTAATCGATCGAAAGATTTCGGTTCGATTTTAGTTTTTCTAAAAAAAGGTAATAACGGTTTAGTTTCAAAAATAGGTCCGTGAGCAACCCTAATTTTAACCGGGTTGGATCTGCTACACACAAATGTTTCTACATTTCTACTCATAAGACATTACAGCTTTACATCGAGAATATCTCCCTATCATTTCGACGAGATGTTCTCAATGTCGGTGCCCTATGGATAAGGATGTGTAAATAATTTATAGGTAGCAGGTCCTGAGTGTTTTCAAATGTTGATATTCTTGCTATCCCCCACCCCACGGGGTAAGTTAGAGGCCCCTACAGTCCACCACAGTGACTGCTTTCGGTGTTACGCCTCGTACACAAGCCAATCCCATAAATAAATACAATATTTTGTTTTGTTTGTATTCTTGTGTTACAGATATAGTGTGGCAACGTGGTGCTACGTTGTCGTTCATGGACACGTGTCTATAATAATGGATGGGACATGTCTACTGCAATTCGCAATCCTGTGGACACGTGGATATATGCTAATCCCATAAAACTTGGATATGGGTTCGAAAATCTATATTAATTGAGCCATAATCCAAGATCAGCGTTCTTAAATCAGCACACAAATGATAAAACACTTTGGAGGCTCTGAAAACGATGCCTGAATCAAATGCAAATGCATGCGTTGGTTTGATCATGATGACTATTTTTTGTAAATGGGGAATCGTACAGATAATGAATAATCCACGTGGCAAGTTAGGACTGAAGAGGGTCCTACAACCCAACTAGCCAGGCCCCACTCCTCAGACCGTAGCCAGTGTCTGCAAAAGTGAAAAACTCTCCCTCGATAAAAGGGGAATTGGGAAATGCCCTCCAAAAGCCAAAATCTCGTCTGCCCTTTTCTCCGAATAAAAGTGAATAATAGAGAGGCTGAATCAGAATTGAATGCGTAGGCATAGGGCAGGCCCTACCTATATCTAGACGTTGGTGCAAAGTCCAAAGTAGGAACAAAAAGCGGCAGCGTAGGCTCACGCCGTCAGTCGATGAAAAGGGTAGTATGATAGAATAGACCGGCATTGACTGACGGAGACGGCAAAATGACGGCAGCTACCAGCGCAGAAATTGCCGGGTTTTGGCTGCACCCGCAGCTAATAACTGTCCATTTTCAGACATGGGTTGCGTGACTCATTGCCACGTGTCCATCTTTTATTTATTAGGGCACAGGTGCCTCAGCTAGCTAATCTTCCGTAGTCCATATAGAGTGGGAAAAGAGAGTGATAGAGTTGTAAAAGTAAAACTACGCAAAGACCCCCCCCCCCTTCTACCTCCTGATCCTTTGATTTACTTTTATTAAGCTTGGAGTGATTAAGATAATTAGATAAGTGTTTATCTGATAAATACTTATTTTAAGATAAGCGTTTATCTGATAGATACTTCTTTTAAGATAAGCGTTTATTCTGATAAATACTTCTTTTAAGATAAGTGTTTATCTGATTAGGTACTTATTTTGGATCGATAGTCGATGCCACGCTAATAACTGTTTACCGACGTTTTGGAAATAAGTCCAAAATAATTATTTGTTCTGAAAATAGTATTTATTCGAGAAATTCAAAATTCGAGTTTATTTTTAAATGATAATTTAATAAGTACTTATTTCTTTTTTTACTGTGATGGCCCAATAAATGCAACTCGGGTTGATTCGAATTAACATTTTGTATTGTTTGAAGCAATGTTTTAAAAAACAATCCAGAAGGAATCGCTTTGACTACCGGTTTTTGGGTTAATGGTTTTATTATTTTATCTAAATTAATGATTCATTCTGATAAAATAAATTAAAAAATGGTCACAAATCATTGAATGGGTCAATGAATCACCAGTTTTATCATTCAGGTTAATAGATCAATGGTGAATTCAACGATTTTTGGCTAAGAACTAGATTTTAGATAAAACAAAATTGATTGACTGAACAATTCCCAAGTCAAACGGCCCAACTATCTGGATCAACTGCGATTCAGAACTTCAAAAATCAACCCGGAGGTTAACTGTTTTTACCTTGAGTCATGGGTTACCAATTGGTCATCTGGTTGGTTGTTTTTTGATAAAAAAAAAAATAATTTTAATTATTTTTCAGATGTTATAAAAAAAAAGTGGATCCAAAATCTTGGCCCAATGAGGACTCGAATGATTCAACCGGCTGGATTCGAGGAAAAAAAAACCGACTGGATTAACGAGGAATTAAAAACACAAATTTTAAGGTCCGACCTCAAATTTGGTTCACTAAAATTTTGATAAAATTCCAATCCTAACCCAACCAAGTTACACTACAACCCTAATTTGTCTATCACATTATTTATCTTACTCTTATTCTTATTTAGAATAAGTGTTTTCATTTCAGTGGTTATGAATAATAAGCATTTGAGCTCGTTAGGGGGTCCAGAATCGGAATCAGAATGGGCTATTCCGATTCCAACTGTTTGATTAGGCAGAATTGGAATCCCATTCTCATTTGGTTGGAATGGCATTATCTCATTTGAGAGAATAGCCATTCTCCGCCTCTTTCTTGGAAATAAAATTTCATTCTTATTGATTTTAATTTTCATGTATAAATCAAATAGATAATGAGAATGAACCATTCCAATACTGTCAAGGTTTTCGATTCCAATTCCGATTTCTACTGCGAACCAAACGGATCCTTATTTTCAAAAAGAATTAAACATGCTACCGATGCCGCCGCTGAACCCACAGTTTTTTTAAGTTGTAAGACTGCTCCGCCCTGCTCTCGATGCAGCGCCAATCATCTATTAGCAATGAAATTCTTTCTTTTATCGAGAAGAAAAGCAAAAATAATATTTGAAGTGAATGATAAAAAGGAATTCATGAGAACTAGCAGCCAAAAGAGTTGCAAAAACAGAAGAATTGCATAAGACAGCGTTGATGTTGAAACAAACAACAAATAGGAGAGAGAGAGAGAGAGAGAGAGGCCCCTCCAGCACCAGAGACCTTTTATCTGTCGCCGTGTTTCCGATTGCAATTCCCAAGTGTGAAGTGTCCCAACAAGCTGTGCCTCTTGCCTGCCTGCCTCCCTACACACTTCTATTTCTAATTTTCTATCCTTCGCCCCCCTTTCCGGTATCAATCAGCCACACTTTACGCTCGTCCTCTCTCTCTTCTTAACCGTACGATTGGAATCAGCTCAGAGAGAAAATTGATTAACAAAAAAAAGTTATAAAGAGAGAGAGTGAGAGACGGGAGAGTCACAGACACAGAGAGAGACTCCTCCTCAGTCCACTCCTCCCCTATGTCTCACTCAATTTACTGTAGAACCTGGCTGTCCCGTGGCCAAGTTGTTCTGATTGTAACACCACTTAGGGAAACGGAAGTACGATCGACGGTCGCTGCCAACGTCAATCACTAACGTCGCCTCACCGCCGTTTACTATTTTCCCTCTCTTAATAACACATAAACACACCCCACCTCTCTCACTCTCTCTCTCCATCCTTACAGTTCACGCCAAAAGCCTGTCCTCAGCTCATCACTCTTCTCTCTCTGGAATTGCAAATGGCCCCCGTCTTCTTCCCTGCTTGCAGTTGCACCCGTCTCTGCATTTCTCCATATTAAACCCAATTTCTCATTGCTTCTACCTCTTTTTCTTTCTCTTATTTTTGGTTCGACAATGGAAAACAGAGCGCTGTTGCAGAACAAGTTTTCTATTCTCTCAGTAATGGCCATGCTCTTTCTTTTCTTCCAGGTTGTTCTACCACTCTCCGACGAAGGTGGGTTCCTTCTCTCCTTTTAACTTTTTGTTATTTCTCCGCTCTGCTTCACCGTTTAAAAACTCTAAAAGCTTCGTAGCTCGCATGATAACCTTTTAAGCTCTGTAAGCTTTCTCAACAGAGAAACTGGGTGCAGCAAGTTGCCCAACTCGCTTTACCGCAGCTGAAAAGTAAAGGAACAACGAAACTATGGAAATGTTGGCCTGTTGTATCCCTTTTTTCTAGATATTGTGGTGCCCATTTTTATAATCTTTGAACGTTCAACTATTTGGGAGCGTATGAACTCTGTATTTTACTCTAGCTCCTTAGTAGTTACCATTGCTCCGGCTTTTCCTCTTCTGTGTTTAAATTCCTAAATAATATTGTAGATTACTGTGTGCTTAAGTGGCATAATCGTGCAGGAAATGCGCTCATGTCGATTAAGGCTTCTTTTAGCGATGTAGCCAACGTGCTTCTCGACTGGGATGCTGCGCGCAACGAGGATCACTGTTCTTGGCGAGGCGTCAATTGCGATAACATTACTTTCTCTGTTGTGTCTCTGTAGGTTTTACCATTCAAAGTTCATTCTATCTCAACTTTTTCCTTTTTAAATCTTTTCCTGCTTGCTTATTTTATCTATCTTTTCTCTGCACAGGAACCTGTCGAATTTGAATCTGGGTGGGGAGATTTCACCCTCCATTGGAGGCCTGAAGGTTTTGCAGACCTTGTACGCTTTTTCCCCCCCTTTTATCTTCCAAATCTCACTCGCTTTCTTTTTGCATGTCTGTTAGCTTCTTTTATTTATTTATGGGCAGAGACTTGAAAGGAAATAGATTAACCGGGCAAATCCCAGATGAGATTGGCAACTGCGTTTCTCTTAAAACTCTGTAATTTCTCGCCTCAAATCAGTTTGACCATCTCTTCCGAGTTTTAATTCAATGGGAATGTAATTTGTGAAGATTGACGACCATGTGGGCTCTTCTCTTGTGATCAGGGACTTGTCCAGTAATTCTCTTTATGGTGATATTCCTTTCTCAATCTCCAAACTCAAACAGCTTGAAGATTTGTAAGTTATACTGCGTGCCCCCGAGGATATCTAGTTCTAAATGAAATAGAGTCCTTTATGCAAGAATATGCAGCATCATTAATCTGTTAATGCAGGATTTTGAAGAATAATCAATTGACGGGCCCAATACCTTCAACTTTGTCTCAGATTCCAAATCTCAAAACTCTGTGAGTTAACCTAATCTTCAGTGTATTGTGTCTACTTCTAATTTGTCGTGCTCTTCAGGTCTGATAACCTACCTCTCTATTATGTTATAAACTTGTAACCTGTTTTTTCAGGGATCTTGCCCAGAACCAGCTTACAGGTGAAATACCCAGGTTAATCTATTGGAACGAAGTTCTGCAATATCTGTGAGCATTTGTTTCCTCCGAGTCCCCGACCCATATTTCTTTTTTGTGATTTGATGACGTTTTATTTTTCATTTTTTTCCTTGGTAAGTTGATTCTCCAACGTCATGATTCTTTTTTGCAGGGGGTTTCGAGGCAACTCATTGACTGGAACGTTGTCCCCTGATATGTGCCAATTGACTGGCCTTTGGTATTTGTGAGTATGCTCTAAACAATGTTCTTATTACCCATTATAGTTCTGAGTGTTTAAGCTTAAATCTCTATTTTCTCGTTACAGTGATGTGAGGGGGAATAACCTTACAGGAACAATCCCTGATAGCATTGGAAACTGTACCAGTTTTGAAATCCTGTATGTTTCTTAAATCATGTCCATCTTGTACCTTGTTGCCTTTACATGTCGCATTACACTCAATTCTGTATGTTTCTTAAATTGCAGGGATATTTCGTACAACCAGATTACTGGGGAAATTCCTTACAATATTGGTTTCCTACAAGTGGCCACCTTGTATGCCTTGTTCCAATTCTTCTTGGTGTTAATGATTGTGTTTGTGGTCCTGTCGGTGTTTTAAAGCTGATCTTTTCCCATGCTAGGTCACTTCAAGGTAACAGGCTTACAGGGAAGATTCCTGAAGTTATTGGTCTAATGCAGGCTCTTGCCGTTCTGTAAGTGGCATGTTCTTTTGATGATTTGTTTGTCAGAAAGTTCTGTTAGTCATGGTGTTTCTATCTTTCTCCTTTTCATTTTGTTCTTCAGTGATTTAAGTGAGAATGAACTGGTTGGTCCAATTCCACCAATACTTGGCAATCTGTCGTATACAGGGAAATTGTGAGTTCAATGACCTTAGCAGCATACTTGTAAATCTCCTTGGTTTTCATTGTTATATACCATAAATACATCATGGTGGATGATGACGTACAGGTACTTGCATGGAAACAAGCTTACTGGAAAAGTTCCACCGGAGCTGGGGAATATGTCAAAACTTAGCTATTTGTAAGTGTGCATTCCAATTTATAATTTTTCTGCATGTGGATAAAGTACTCTTGTTTTGGAACCGATATTCCGCATGATGTGCAGGCAGCTGAATGATAATGAGCTGGTTGGTGGAATTCCTGCAGAACTTGGGAAGTTGGAGGAACTATTTGAACTGTAAGCTTTTCTTCTGTCTTGTTTCGATGCCTTGTATTTTTTATGTCTTTCATTATTGGTTAATTCAAGTGAGGCTTTGTACATTCCATGTTCCAGAAATCTTGCAAATAACAATCTTGAAGGACCCATCCCACAAAACATCAGCTCTTGTTCAGCTCTCAACCAATTGTGAGACCGCAATTTTTCTCACTCTTTGTATTGTTAATGTGAAATGAACATATGGCTGAATATGCTTATTTTTTGTTCAGTAATGTGCATGGTAATAGGCTAAGTGGTTCCATTCCTTCTGGATTTCAGAATCTAGAGAGCTTAACCTATATGTGAGTTTGGACTTCCCTCGTAATGACATTTGCATTGTGGATCTGGCAAAATTAGATAGTCATTGCTTGTCAAAAAAAAATGATGCTCATTGCCCTGGCACTTGACAACTTCAATTGCAGGAACCTGTCTTCTAATAATTTCAAAGGTGGGATACCTGTTCAATTGGGAAGAATCATCAATCTTGATACACTGTGAGTTGAGAGTTGTCACATTGCTATTTTTGGTTTTATCTTAACAGCGTCTAGTTGACAATTTCTGCCTCATTTACATCATCCAGGGATCTATCTAGTAATGATTTCTCAGGACCTGTTCCATCTTCTATTGGTGATCTTGAGCATCTTCTAACCCTGTACGTGGTGAATTGGTATTACAAATCAAACCATAAGGACTTGCGGAAATATTATTTAATTTAAGTTCTATATCTGTGCCCTGTAGGAACTTGAGCAGAAATCATCTCGATGGGCCTCTGCCAGTAGAATTTGCAAATCTCAGAAGTATCCAAATTATGTTAGTTATATATTTTTCATTTCTTTTCTACATCATTTTCAGATTTTATTTTCAGGTCATAGTTTTGGACATGTCTTGCTTGTAATTACCATATTGATTTGACCTTGTGTAGTGATATGTCGTTCAACAATCTCTCTGGTGCAATCCCTGAAGAGTTGGGTCAATTGCAAAACATTGTTGCCCTGTGAGTTTGTCTAATTATTTATTAGATTTGAGGTCGTATTTTATTTATTTTTGTTGGTTATTAATTGTCTTGGTATTTTTTTTTTTTCTGTTTGCTGCTCCTAGTATTCTGAACAACAACAACCTTCATGGTGGAATTCCACCTCAGTTAACCAATTGTTTCAGCCTTGTAAATCTGTGAGTTTCTTAACTATACTTTAACTCTGGTTTTTCTGAAAGCATTTTCACCACCGACAACTATTGGATGCAGGAACATCTCTTATAACAATTTATCAGGTGTTATTCCTCCTACCCGAAACTTTACAAGGTTTCCACCGGAAAGGTGCGTTGATATTCAATTATACATTTCACTTATTGGTTGAATAAGTTTCATTTTATTCTTTTTATGGTGATCAGTTTCTTGGGAAACCCATTGTTGTGTGGGTACTGGATGGGGTCATTATGTGAACCGTATGTGCGAGAATCGAAAGGTATTGTCATTATATGATGGTTTTGTATTATGCATGTCAACTTTCCTACTCCATTGTTGGTTGGAGTCCTCGTTGAGTTGATATATTTTTCTTGCAGCCATTTCTTCCAGAGCTGCTATTGTCTGTATAACATTAGGCTGTGTGATGGTAGTCTCAATGATTGTAGTTGCAATTTATAGAGCCAGCCTACAGAATGAATTCCTGAAGGGATCAAACAGAACTATGCAAGGCATGTTTACTTTCAAGGATACTAGTGTATTACTAATGTGTTTTACTTGGTTTTGTCCCCCTTGAAATGGTCACTTAATTTTGTTCCTTCTCATTCCAGGTCCTCCAAAACTTGTCATACTTCACATGGACATGGCTATTCACACCTATGAAGATATCATGAGGATTACAGAAGATTTGAGTGAGAAATACATAATTGGCTATGGTGCTTCAAGCACTGTTTACAAATGTGTACTAAAGAATTCCAAGCCCATTGCCATCAAGCGACTTTACACTCAGTATCCGCACAACTTTAGAGAGTTTGAGACTGAACTAGAAACCATTGGCAGCATTAAACACCGAAACCTTGTGAGCTTGCATGGCTATTCACTCTCCCCACATGGAAACCTCCTCTTCTATGATTACATGGAAAATGGGTCCCTCTGGGATCTCCTTCATGGTTAGATGGTTTAGTGTCTTTGTTCTCTTGTTTCTGTTTTTCCTTTGTGAAGTGGTTCCTTCTTTTATGCATTTATTGATGGAACTTGGTGATAATTTCTGTATCTTTGTGCTAGCAGGACCATCAAAGAAGGTTAAACTTGACTGGGACACGAGGCTGAAAATAGCAGTTGGAGCTGCTCAAGGACTTGCCTACCTCCACCATGACTGCAACCCAAGGATTATCCACAGAGATGTTAAATCCTCAAACATCCTTCTTGATGAGAACTTCGAAGCACATCTCTCTGATTTTGGGATTGCCAAGTGCATTTCATCTGCGAAAACCCATGCCTCGACTTTTGTAATGGGTACAATTGGCTATATTGATCCAGAGTATGCACGCACCTCCCGGTTGAATGAGAAATCGGATGTTTACAGCTTTGGGATTGTTCTTTTGGAGCTGCTGACAGGGAAGAAGGCTGTTGACAACGAGTCCAACTTGCATCAACTGGTCTGTAGGCCTTATTTTGGTTACTTTAATTTGCTTCCTGTGTTGTTGATTTATCTAACATCATAAATGGGGTTTTTGTGGTTCAGATACTGTCGAAAGCAGATGACAATACAGTGATGGAGGCGGTTGATCCAGAGGTATCTGTGACATGCATGGACATGGGGGCTGTTAGGAAGACCTTTCAACTTGCGCTGCTGTGCACAAAGAGGCACCCATCTGACAGACCGACCATGCACGAGGTCTCACGGGTTCTGGTCTCCTTGTTGCCACCTCTAAGCTCGAAATCTTGCACAGCCCTTCCAAAGCCTTTCAACTATACCCAGTTTGTGGTGAACAAGGAAGGAAAGCAGAATCAGCATCAGCAGCAAGATAACAACAACAGTTCAGATGCTCAGTGGTTTGTGAAATTTGGCGAAGTTATTTCTAAGAATAGCCTATAAATAGATTACTATCATCCACATACTTGAAAACAGAGGAGATGACTGATTTTGTTGAAGCGGTCACACGTTGGTCTTACATCTAGGTCGGTAGGGAATTTTGTAAAATCTCACTCAGAAAAGAACAGGAGAAAATCAACAGAAGAATACCTTTTTGATGTAATTTTACTGTTAAACTCGTCTCGTATCCTTGTACAATTGGACTTGCACGAAGCAGCAATATAGGATGGGTTAAATGAATTTTGTTTATCTTCTCTTCTACCAAGTTAATGTATTTACATGGTTTTGTGCTTTTTGCTACGAAGTTGATGTATTTTCCATGGTTTTTGTGCCACAATGTAAATGTCTTTCCAGTATCCATATTACAGGAAGCAGCAATATTGGGTGGTTATTTTGACAGATTGAAA